CCGTCGCCTCCAAAGCCCTCAGCCGATCTCACGAGCCTCTTCGAGTCCACCGATACAGGCAAAGCAACCTCCACAGCCGCTTCCATTCACTTCCACGCCACAAAAAAAAACCCTAAAAAAAATCCAGCTGCATTTCCATCTCAATCTTGAACAACGTTTCAGATAAATTTCTCAAATTCAGCTGAAATCATAACATCTAACGAGATTCGAGAACCCGCCAAAGCAATTCGAAGAGCAAAATGGAAAGATGAGGTTCGATTAACATGTTGCGGCTGAGGAAAGTGAGAGAGAGAGAGAGAGAGAGAGAGTCTAGGGCACGAAATTGAAAGGAAAGTCCGAAAGGAGGAAAGGGTATTTATAGTTTTCGGGAAAAGAAGAAAAAGGAGGTGAGGATGGATATTCAGGTGCGGGTGGCGTCACCGTAGTCCCGTTGGACCTTAGCGGTATTGTCCACGTGCTTTAAACTCTTCGGCACGTGAGCTTCCCGCGGCAGATGAAGCAAACACGACTTTTGGCATTCTTCATTTTCTAATGCGAGTATGCGACATTTTAGTTTCATAGGAAAATAACCGTACATTGATTTTTTAGTTACTTTTTAACAAATATTTGACAATATTGAATTACAAATATTTATACTACGAAATATATATCTTTACTATTTAATTATGAAATTTCGGGTAGTATACTAAAGTTGCGTTAATAAAACAAAACAGTAAACTTCAATGTAAGTTCACACAGTTGCGGAAGCAATGTTCTACAAAGCATGAACTTTTAGAGGAGCATATCGCTCCTCCTTCGCAACTCTTTCATATATATAGATGTATGGTCCATTTACAATGAAGACTCCTTCTTATATACCTACAATGTAATCACTTACACACACTAGTTTTTCGACTACATATTCCTTGTGGATTTCACAACATGAATCCTTCAAGTTTCTCTAAGTATTCCTCGCGAACACTTGTTCTAACATTCAGAATGAATCAATATAAACTCAATGAGATCGAGAACAGACTCTCGTCTCCACATACATAAAAAGAAATAAACTCAGATCGGTCGACAAAAAACACCAACTAGAACATTTCGCACTTCGAACAAATAAAAAATAATTCAGGCTTATCTGCTCTGCAAAGTCTCTTGCAAGTGTCTTTTATAGTCTTCACCAAGATGGTAAGTTTTCCCTGCGATTATCACTCCAAGTATAGTTGCGTCCAAAATCCCTTGACTTGCTCTTTGCAATCTCTTCTCTCATTTGCCAGTAAATCTTAAGTATGGAAATTCTTCTCGCGATACACTGATGCCACATACGGTAATTAAGTTCTTCTACGCGCTTTGACTCCTATGATGGTAAGTATGACTCTTTCTTTTATTCACGTGCGACTGGTCCATAAAAAAGATTTCTTGCATATTCTTTCTCGATCTCCTATAAATATAATAAACATACTAATTAATTCAACTAAAAACATTAAAGGGAATGAAATAAATCAAGATAATAACAAAATTTCCATTTATATTTTCGGACAATTCGAGTATCCAATGGTAGTTTCAAGTTTCATTGAAATTTGTCTATTTAATGTCAAACTTCAAATACTTACAAATTATAATTAAAAATAATTATTCCTCGTTAAATATCTATTATTGAGTTAATTATTAAATATAATATATACATTGTGCCCATATATCACTCTTACAAAGTGTACATAAATTTTAATTTTAAGTAGTATAGTATAAATTTAACTTATAAGGGTGTTATTTGAGTAGAACCAATCTAAATACTTCGTTATCAAATCTGTGCCTATAGATGAACTGGTTTGTTTAAACTTGACTCGATTCCTTTAACACATTAAAAATCTCAAACAAGATATTTATAAACATACACGACTTTACTCTTCATTATAAAACGATAAAAAAAATAACAAAAAAGTGAACGAGTTGTTGCGCACAAGCTCAATTATCTCATTTAAAACAAGCTCTCATGGTTGAGTTACTTAGGGCATGTTTGGATAAAAATATATCCGCTAAAAATAAATTTTCTTAGTTAATCAAGGTTAATTTTAATAATTTGATATGACTAGTAGTTAGTGGTTTTTGTAGTTTATAATAAAAAAAATATTTAAAAATAAAATTGATTTGATGTAAAAGTAGAAAAAAGATGATGTGAAGAGATAATTAGTTAAATTAGGTGAGTTGATGAGTAGTGAAGTGATGTGATGAATAAGAATAATTGTTTGATATTATTTAATTATAATTATGATATTGAAGATGATGATGTTGAGTTAAATGTTAATTAGATTTTGAGTATCGATTGAGTATGAATTGGAAAAATTTACAAAGAAACACCCCTTAAATAAACAAAGAGTTAAACTTATAAATTTCATGAGCATACCACTTTATTCATAAATTACAATAGAATGGGTTGTTTCGACCCTATCAATGTGTTTAATAATTTTTTTCCTGTACTTTTTTTTTGTCAAAGCGTTTTTAGTTATTAATATAGTTATT